TTATCTGAACTTTACCTCTATGGTTACCTTACCTTGGCCCAAACCCCAATCTTTTCACGCGACACTCTGGGCCCCCACAATGGGAACATTTTTGGCCAAGTAATAAATTTAAATTTCCCTTATACAAATTGGGAAATTTTTCTCCGGACAAGCATTTTTTAAAAACTCTAAGGGGACCTTGACCTTTACCCCCAAACCTGGTTTATTGCCGACACTGGGTCCTCATAGTGGGGAACATTTTTTTGAAATTTCATTAAAAACCCTCCCTACAGAGGGGAATTTTGGCCCCGGGCAAAATTGGGCGGCCCCCGCTCCGCCCCGCCCCCCAGGGGGGTTACCATAAAACGTCCCCTTTTTTAAAACCGGGGGTAAAAAAAAAAGAAAGCATATAACTGGATTTTTGATGGGTTAAATATTACAATTTTTAAAATTAACCAATCTAAGGTAATTAAATAATCATACTTCTGCCAGAGCTCCTTTTGTTTTGATTTTTTCTTCAATAATTGTTGTACATCAGGTGAGTTTAGATCTAGATCTCCCAGCAGCTTGGATTTCTTTTGTGGAGGCTCTTTACTACTAGAGTTCCCCAGTGTTATCATCCTCTGTTAATATAAAGAGAATATAAAGAAACCAGCCTTAAAATGATCTTTGTTTTTCCTCCCAAAACCCATCCCAGTCTGGGTAGGATAAGTAAGTAGGTATTTTTTTTATCCAAAATATTTTGTTGATGAACCAAAAACTTTTATCAGACATACGTTTTTTACAAGTGTTTTTTTTGTAAAAACCATTTTTTTGGTAATAAATCATCATTTTTTTTTGGTAATAAAACAAACAATATTTATTTTAAGCCTAAATGCAGCAATATATTTCATATGCAATGTTACAAAGCGACACATACCCATGTCTTTCAGCAACTCGTTTTCTAATCTTTTCTCTTGCCTCAGGTGATGTAATTTTCTTCCTCACAGAATTTGGATCTTCTTTGTTTACCCACCTTTAGATTTAATCTTTGCAATGGCCAATCGCTGCAATGCAAGAAAAAAAAAAGCATCATTTTTATTTTTCATTTTTATGTCTTCAATTAAGCTGACACAGACATATGCACATATAAAATACAAATAATGTTACTGTACTGCATAACTAAACCATCTTTAATCAAATTAAAACCATTTAGGGGATAAAGATTTGAATCTCAAAGGTATAACATACAATTTTCTTGCAAGGAAAAAGGGCAATAAATCAGCCAATTTTTCTCAGGAAAATAAAACAAACCAGACACAGAATTTTTCTTGGCCTTGGGTGCATCAATACTTTGCTTAATTCTGCTGATGCTTTTCCTTTCCCTTTTATTTATTGGTGCATCCAATGAAATCTCTTGTCCAAAAGCCAATACCCTTGCCAAGTGTTGGCGTACTTGTCAACAATTCAACCTCCTTTTTCTTCTGCAGGAGTGTCTTTGAGTGTTGCTTAAGAAGATCTTTAGCAGAAGCAGATGGTACTATATCACCTTCGTCTATTTTATTTACTGTAAATAACAAATGAAAACAGTAAGATATAATTCCTTTTGTCTCCAAACTGTAATTAACACAGAATTTCACACAATAAACAGCGATTTAAACAGAAAAAGTTTCGACTTCTTTTGAGAACTAACAGTAATGAAATAAACATTATGATACCAGTATACTGAGGCCAGATTGTACATTTGTGCAGTCTGACTAGACTATAAAGTTAGCTTCAAAATCCTTGTATTTTGATACTGAAGTTTCTTATACTGCTAAAAACTGTTATAAAATGGAAAACACAGCATGTCTGGTTTTTCTAAGCTAAAGCAGCAAATTATATAGCTTATGGTTCTGAAATTTTATCAATATTGTAATGGAATATATTATCTAGGGGGTGAAGGATCTTCATCACCACCAAAGCTGAAAAGTTACAAAATCACCCTAATGATAGAGTTACATATTAAATGTAACTTAATCAAAAGATTTTTTTAAATATGGCTTCCAATGTAATCAGGCTATATGAATCAATATTATACCAAATTCAATTTAACTCAAGAAAAGGAGTAATCATGCACAGCTTATAAACTGTGTAACATCAATATTTGTTTATCTAAATTATCTAAATTACCTGTTGGGTTTGCATCTTTCTTCACAAGATGTTTTACAAAGTTCATAGACCCAGCTGATGGAACAGACAAAAGTTGTAATCTGAAAAAAAAAAAATCATAAATACATGTATTATAATTTAATCTTTTTTCCACATTTTAAATTTTTTCAGAAAATTTTTTTTAAAAACAAAACCAAAAGTCTTTGTCCCTTAACTAGGTGGGGCCGGGTTTTTATTTTTTAACATTTTTTCAATTTTTACTTTTACAATAATTTGTAATAATTCAATGTCTATATAGAAAATTTTGTAGAGCATTTAAATTTATTCAAAGTTTTAAAATATCCAAATTTTTTTTCCTATTAACATTACAAGACTTTCATGTAAATAAAAAAAAACAAAAAATGTAGACTCAAATGGTTTAATTTTGCACCCTTTTCATTTCATAGGCCTACTAGACACCAAAAGTAAAAAAATTTAAACCTTTAACATTAAAACTTGAAATAAAATACAACTTTTTAATTTTTTTCCCCTATAAGGCTTTAAAAAAAAAATTTAATTAAATACCTATAGAGGGTAAGACGAAAAATTGGGCATGTAAATGGCCTATAGAGGCTGTAATGATGAAAATGTGGTCATGTAAATGGCCTATAGAGGCTGTAATGATGAAAATGTGGTCATGTAAATGGCCTATAGAGGCTGTAATGAAGAAAATGTGGTAATGTAAATAGCCTATAGAGGCTGTAATGACGAAAATGTGGTCATGTAAATGGCCTATAGAGGCTGTAATGATGAATATGTGGTCATGTAAATGGCCTATAGAGGCTGTAATGACGAAAATGTGGTAATGTAAATAGCCTATAGAGGCTGTAATGACGAAAATGTAATATAGGCCTATAGAGGCTGTAATGACGAAAATGTGGTAATGTAAATAGCCTATAAAGACTGTAATTACGAAAATGTGGTCATTAAATAGCCTATAGAGGCTGTAATGACGAAAATGTGGTCATGTAAATGGCCTATAGAGGCTGTAATGATGAATATGTGGTCATGTAAATGGCCTATAGAGGCTGTAATGACGAAAATGTGGTAATGTAAATAGCCTATAGAGGCTGTAATGACGAAAATGTAATATAGCCTATAGAGGCTGTAATGACGAAAATGTGGTAATGTAAATAGCCTATAAAGACTGTAATGACGAAAATGTGGTCATTTAAATAGCCTATAGAGGCTGTAATGATGAAAATGTGGTCATGTAAATATCCTATAGAGGCTGTAATGATGAAAATGTGGTCATTTAAATAGCCTATAGAGGCTGTAATGATGAAAATGTGGTAATGTAAATGGCCTATAGAGGCTGTAATGACGAAAATGTGGTAATGTAAATAGCCTATAAAGACTGTAATGACGAAAATGTGGTCATTTAAATAGCCTATAGAGGCTGTAATGATGAAAATGTGGTCATGTAAATATCCTATAGAGGCTGTAATGATGAAAATGTGGTCATTTAAATAGCCTATAAAGACTGTAATGATGAAAATGTGGTAATGTAAATAGCCTATAGAGGCTGTAATGATGAAAATGTGGTAATGTAAATAGCCTATAGAGGCTGTAATGATAAAAATGTGGTAATGTAAATAGCCTGTAGAGGCTGTAATGATGAAAATGTGGTCCTCCTTTAAATCATACTTACAGATCTTTATCTTTTTGGCGTAATTTATCAATCTTCTTCTCATCATCAGGTTCAAGGTCATGAAGTGACAATGTTGTTATTTTCCCAGGAGCTTTCTTTGCTTCAAATGACTGTAATTTGTTCAAGGTCATTCTATCCTTTGAAGATTTTGCCTGTGGTCTATTTAAATAATAATAAAATATTCATTTAATATTATCTTATACTGACCAGTGCCCATCATTCACTTTTCTATCAATAAAATTTTCATTTGATGGTGAAAGTTGATTAAATTTTGATTTTAAATCCCTGGAATGATACTTATAATGAGGACAACCACAAGAAAATGTTTTTAAACAATTTTTTTAAGGATACTCTACCTTATAAATTAACTTTAAAACCTTAAAATATTCATCATTTAATTTAAGTATGTTTTAGCTAAATTGACCCACTGTTATAATCTTTTGACATAATGGCTATGATACATACAATACATTGTATAGTAAAGGGGATATTAACGGTTCTATATTAAATATATATTATTCATGTCCAATATGATAGCTATAGAATGCAATGGTCTTTATTCATATAATGTAGACATGTAATACAGAAATATTGTAGTTTCTATACCTCTGTGTAGTGTAAGTGTTTCCTCCATAGAAAAAACATCCAGATCCTGCGGCGTTTTTATTTTTCTGTTGAGTGAAGGCTTTTGGTGTGATCCCAGTGCTGAAATTAATATAAAATACAATAAAAAAAAGAAAATGTTATTTTAACAAAACCACTACTAGGTCTTATAAGAAATATTCTTGCCTTTTTTTATTAACAGTAACATATTTACAATGAACGTTATTTTGAAATTCAATTTCTGAGCTTATTTGAAATCATGGTAATTTTTGAACAATGCCATACACTTTCAAATTGTTGCAGTTCAAATTGTCAGAAAACCTCGACTAAGGAAAACTTTGAAAAACTTTTACATCAAACTATCACTTGTTCAAAAGCTTACAATCATAAAAAATACTTGCATCATTTCTAGGAAGTAAATTTGCATAAGATAAATCTTGTTAAAAAATTGCTTCACCATAAGCTAATCTTACTGATTACAACAGTTAATACAGAGTAAGTTAATGGCAAATATTCTGTAATATGCTACTAACAGTTTACCTAGCCTGAAGTTCTGTACGTTTTGAGCTGGATTTTCTATATGCTGACTGTACATGGTATGTGCAGAATTCTCCTTGCATCCTATATAGAATTTGTAAAAAAGTTTAGCACAAAACTATATATGTGTGAACCAATGATAAACTTTATATACTTCTCAACATGCTCTACATGTATGTTAGTTTTCAATTCAATGTCAATTCTTAACAAACTTTTATTACCCTAAGTTCTTAACATTTTATTACCATACATACAGACAAAAATTTTTTTTCAAGTTTATCACTACACATTAATGATCGTAAACATTGACTTAACACTCATTGACTTTACAATAATCTCATTCTTGTAAAAAAATTGCATTTATTATCATTTGATGTTCAATCACATGGATATTCAATAATATTATTTAAATCTTTCAGACAGTTCATAATTATATTTTATGCTGTATGGTACTGCACTGTTTAAGATATATGTAGCCACTAAAGTCAATAACTGTTCACAGAAAAAACATCCACAACATATTCTACTGGGATCCTACATATTACAGGACAAAATATGATGTTTTTTCGCTGTAACTTTTATTTAATATAATGAAAAAGAATGGAATTTTACCCAAATAATTTTGGGTTCTTAATACAACTAAACGTTCTTTATATCAAACATGAAATTAAACATTTGACCGTAGAAATGTGTCTTTAAAGTAGGGCATTATAAGAGGAAACAAATCGTGTAAACAACTCAATTTACCAGACATTGTGTTTCAAAAAATTTTGAAGTCATGAATTGAAATTAATCTTTAAATAATCAGGAAGGAAACTACGACTATTGAATGGCAAGGTTAAGATATGGTAAAACCATGTATGTCAGTAGAATAAACAGAGCAGCCATGCTTGTTACGAAGAGGCCAATATAGGGGTGTAATTGAAATTAACACTATTAACTCAATTAACATATTGATTCTTCATAATTCTTAAACATATGAAACATTTTGATATTCAGATGGAATTCTGTTCTTTGTCATACAGTTTCCTTTTGGTCATCATGAAGCATGTTGAAATAGCAATAAAATCTATTTTATTTACATTTCATGTAGAGTTTCCTCCCATGGGCATTACCCGTTTTTTTTTTTAATTTTGCATTTCTTTGTAAAAGAGAACAACAAGATCTTGTTTTAACTAAATTTAAAATTACTTTTTATCATTAAAATTTGTTACGATTGTCTTCTGCGATAACATTGAGAAGAAATAAAAGTAAAACCTATCTAAAATAACCCATTAAGGGCCTCAATATTCGGGCATTCGCAGAACAGATTATTCCCCCGCATGACCAGGTCATGTTTGTTTGTTTCATTTTACGCCTTTTTCCAACAGTATTTCAGTCATATAGACCAGGTCATGAAATAACTAGTAAACAAAAGGGTAAGTTAGTAAATAAAGAACTGAATCAAAAATATTTACTTGAAAATGGTTTTGTTGTTATTTACTTTGAAATAGAAAGCGTGTGTACGATTCAGACCAGGTGATTTTTGAATTGAAGCAAAAGATAAAGCCTTATTTGACAAGAATAGATTTTGTCCTGTAAACTGATTGTCCGGTAAGCATGAAGGATCCCAGTATAGTTAAATTTTTCAGCCATTTACCATGTAGATTTTGTAGACTGAACTATAAATTAAAATAAATTAAAATACTAAATACCTCAAGCACCTATCAATTAAGAATCTAAAAATTGTCAGAGTATACAAAATGTACTTCCAAGTATGCTGGTGTGACTCAAATTAGCAGAATTCATCTGTCATTATCACCTGTTGGCATTCAAAAGTTTTTAATAAACTTATTGTCTATTGCAGAATTAATCACATATGTTATAATTGAATCAAGTCACTTACTTGTTAATAAAAGATGAACAAGGTGAACCAGCCTTGGTTGTACCACGGCATCGTCCAAGATCTTTTGAGATACCCATCATTAGAAGTTGTTGAGGATGATTAATTGTAATAGCTAATTCAGCCTGATTCTGTGAAAAAAAACAATCTATAATATAATACACAGTAATACATACAACATGTTCATGTACTAATATTCTGTCTTCTTGCATAGCAGACTGGCGTTTCCGTGAGTTTTACCCATGCCGGAAATTTCATCTGGCATGGGGGGTTCCAGATGAGTCGCGTGCCAAACAACAACGTCATTTTACCGCACTTTATGGATGAACCGCGTTAAATTGACGTCGTTTTAGAAGGGAAATATGTGCTTATGATGACGTCATTTCACTGTTGTTATTTAAGTTGTAAGTTCATACGCTTTTGTAAGAAAATAGTAATGGATGAAATGACTTTAATTTTCATGAACATATATCGCATTGAGGTAAACCATTTTAAATATGAAATAATATGGCAGAATATGCAAGAAAAAATATCTGACATATGTTTGCGGTTCGGATCGGAATATCCGTACCTCGGGAACCCGCCCATGGGCAGGTCCCCTCGGGACGGATATTCCGGTCCGAACCGCAACATATGACAGATATTATTAATATAACCTGTCAGGAATATTTATAACATATTTATAAAACAGCAAACTTCCTTTTTTTTTTTAGAGAAAACTGTAAGATTTCTTCGGGCTGGTGGCTGGCTGCCTATATATTTTTAAATAAAGTTCTACCCAGTTTCTTTCAAATATGGTGAAACCTCTTAGCAATTGGAAAAAATCATCTCCAAACCTTTTCAGCTTTATCCATGATAGATGGGTTGAGCAGACCAATGACCACACCTAGATCATTCTTCCAATGTTCCTTGTATACATTCCCAAACAGGAAAAATGTAACAGTTTTATCACAGTTCTGTAAATCACTCAGCTTCCATATACAGTATGCTTTACCCTGCAAACATGTTATATATCAATTTACAGTACAGTAAAGTAAAAAGAATATACATGTATCAAGAATGTTACTAATATTGTACATGTTATTTGGGGATAATTCCAAGATATGGCACATCACATTTTGTTTGCAGTTGTAGGCAGACAGTATTAATACCTTACTGCCTTGGATTCAACATTATCTCAATGTCAAACAGAGTTTCTATGAAAGAGATTGTAAAAGACAAACTCATAAGCTTTAGCATCTTTCTTACTTAATAAGCCATTTGCTCCTGTTGTCATTAAATCTGCTATAATGTTATATACTTACAGCAGCAGACTGTCGGGGCTCTGTCTTGTGAACAACAACTCCAAGAGTCACCCAGTTGTCCTTCTGTAAGTCTGTTCCCATTTTAGACACAAGTCTAGAAATTTTTACAAGATTACGGCCTTCCATTTTTCTTTTAAACACATCCATTGGTACTCTAGGATTTCTGATAGAAGTATTATGAAATTAATTTATAAAATTAAATAAACTGAAATTTAACCAAAAATGTTAGTTTAAACATAGTTTATTGCAAACAAATTCACAATATATATACAGACAATAATGAACACAATATAAACATGATATGTTGAAAAAGGATTGGGTCCCAAAGCTGAGCTTATAAAGGCCTTCTCCTTATAGATTTACAATGCATAAAATACAGTATGACAGTATATGTGACTTGCTTGAAATATATCTGATTTTACATTGTTTTTAAGATGTGTTGAAAAAATGTTGTTTCAGTAATTTTATTATCTCTCAGCAATAGTAAATATAAATCACAACAATGTGAATATGTAGTAACTTCTAATCATATCGAAAAAAATGACTTATAACCAATAAATACTTTAATAAAATCTAAATCTTGTTCATTTTTTGTTGGTCTTTTGCCCGGCATTTAAGTTGTATTAACACTTTTATGTCAGAGGAAAACCATGCCAAGCTGTACAATTTTGTCACTACAGATAATTCCTATTCCTTTCAAGAATTTAATAGGACAGGTTCAAATGACCTTTGACAGGTAAGCATAATCACTTGAACAAAGATACTTAAAACAGCAACAGACTTAACTTTTTCATCGTACTAGCAACTTACATGATACGGATTCCGCAGAAGGGGTCCGTCACAGATTCACGCACATCCTCCTTTGTTATGGTAGATTTCTGCATGTACTCATCCTTCACCTTGTATTTACCACTAACAGTACCTGTAACTGGGTCAAGTGCTGGTTTCTGGGATACTTGCTGTATTGGATGAATTCTGAGCGGTTTTGAATTTGTTTCTGAAACATCAATTACATTTCTTGATTTTAAGGTGACAACAGACACTTTCCGTGGTACTCACATAAATGTCATTTAAACAAAGTTATTTTAGTAATAATTGTTATTTATTTAATCTTTGTGCATTAAATGTCGTTGATCATCATAAAAAATAACATATTTGAAAAAAATGCCTTTGTAAATGATTGATTTTGAATAAAAATCCTAAAATTTTAAATCGTCATATCAAAGTCATTTTTAAATTTTTTGTCATCAAACTTTTTGAAAATAACCATACTTATATTATCTAGGGAACCGTGTCTCAAATTTTTTCTATCTTTTCTCAAAAAAATATTACGTAACGTCAAACATTTTATGCGACTTTTTTCACCATACATATTACGTAATTAAAGATAATTAAGTCGCCTATTGAGCAAACAAAAATCCCTGGCACGGTTCCCTCCGTAAATGAATTTCCTTTCATGTGCTTTAAACCGCATGTTAATTGCTTGATTATTAAAAAAGTTATGCCGATTCAAAGTTAGTCCGACCCGCATCAAACGAAGTGTCATAAATCGGCTGTTCTCTCTCGGACCCCTACGTTTCACGCTATATAATTGCATAATACACAAATATCGCACCAGAGAGGATCACAAGTTGCGGTAACATACTCTAACAACATTTTATGACCCAGTGACATCTGACCAATTAAAAAGCTGCTGATTAATATCAGTTTATAGCTGAAATTTCTTCAATTCTTACGTGATTTACTGATCGTCTGGTATCTGTCTCACATGTCACGTGACTATCGGTAAAATTGAGGCACTCAGTGGGGGGAAATGGAACGCATTTGCGCACCGCTAGCGGGGTATTTAATTGTTTCCTTTTTAAAGTTTATTATTATTATCATTAGCATTATTATTGTATTATACCAGTATCACTCTGCCTGTGTAGTCGTTAAAATATAAAATAAAATAACAAAATACTAAGCTTCTGACAGTCTTTTAAAGTCCATGGTAGATGTACAAATAAGCACGGGATATTATATATTTTTTCCACCAAATTGATAATGCTTCACATATTTTAATAGAAATAAAAGGTATTACTAGATCATTATGATCTGGCCTTCTTGACTCCTATTATGAATATCATCTATGCACGGCATAGAGATCCAGTTTCTACCGGGATAGACAATAAATTTCATACTTTGTCCCAGATTTATTAGTACTGTGTCCGATTTACTGGCGAACAATTTATTTTCACTGAGAATATATTTTAATATCTTTTTTTATATTTATAGAGAAATAATCATCCTTAGACAATCTAAAATGGTTTAGAAATTTGTCAGGGACACCTTTCCACAAGTCACATAGGCGTTCACATATAAAAATGTTGTCTGTTTTTGTTGTTGTTTTACTTGACATTGTTAGAAAACGAGGTTGAATGTAAAGTAAGCCTTTGAATCCGTACAAAAGTCTATCAACTCAACGTAATATCTATCAGATTAACGGGACACACAAATTATTTTCACACATTATGGATATTTTAGCAACTACATTTTTAATCAACCCCGTGGTCGTGCGATTTGCCGCTATGCTTAATTATTTATGTTTCATACATTATGTTACGTACATTGGCCGACAATTTCTTAATTTATAAAAAAGGCTAAATGTTGAGATATTCATAAAAGATGTAAGTTAGTTGTACGATACATGTATTACGAGAAGTATGGACCAGTATGGACCTGTAATTCACGGATATATGGAACTACCGATTTCCCTCATTGATGCCTCAACAGGGGGCGGAGCGTTATCGATAATCAACAGGTTACGCGAATAGCAGATACAAATAGTATAGGTTCCGTTTTAAAACGTTTAAAAACACATTTTTTGGACTAACTGCTTCCAAAATTAAATCAAAAATGTGTTCAGAAAAGGTTGATAAATCTACTTAGCAAAAAATCTCATTTTAGGTATTTTCAGTGATATTTGACTCCGTTGTCACCTTAACATTAATGAGGAAAAGAATACTTAAATCTATATTATTGATCTAGCTCAAAATTAAGATATCTAAAGACAGAATATTTAAATAACATTTTTAGTAAAAAACACCCGTCAGATATAACAGGATGCAGTAAAAATGTTTATATAACTATACCATGCCAGTATATCATAGTGTACTTCAAACTGCAAATCATATATTACTATGTGTTTTGTATCAAAAGTTGCCTGCAAATGCTATTGCGGCATGGCCAAGTGGTTAAAATGTCAGACTGGTATTCTAATGATTGCTAGCTGCTAAGGTTCAAACTCCATCTAGGGCAAGTTGTTGTTTCCTTGAGCAAGAAACTTTACACTCATTGCTCAATACTGGTTGGTTCCAGTTACGGATTCAAAAGTGAGTCTTTAAGCTTATAACTTCCTACACAATCAAACTAAAATAAATTCTGTATAAACCAAATGCTCTTCACTAAAACCTTTAGCATTTTACCTGTCCATCTTGATATATTAGGTTTCTTAAGGACAGCAGGATCGTAGTTAGGCATATGAGCTTGCCGAGTCTTATGACCAGAATTTATCAACTTCTTCAATTCCTTCCCTTCTTCACTCAACTTGGATTTCTCTTCTGTTGACAAATAAAACATTAAGTTAAAAGTATAAAATTTTGCACCATTATGTATATCATTGAAGTGTACAAATCAATAATATGACAAATAAACATGTGCTTACGTGGGTTAGCAATATGATGGGGGAAAAAACAAAACATATCATAAGGTCATTGTGCTCAGCGCTTGATAATCAAACAAAGTCTGGATGATGTAGGAATTAACAAAAAGGAAGATTTCATTACATAGTTTGATTCTTGGAATGAATACTGAAATTTAACCATTTTCCCCCCAAATTTGTGACAAAGGGCCATAATTCAGTCAAAATCTATACCAGAGTTATTTGCTTTGGACATAAACCTCAAATTATGATCAAAAGGACAAGTACAATGTATTCAGTCTCAAATGGATACCTTCAGAAGTTTTGATGATTTATATTGCAGACAAAACTAACCAAGAATTTTCAAAGTTCACCAAAGGCCATAATTCAGTCAAAATCAATGTCAGAGTTATGGGTCTTAGATATAGACCTCCATTTATGGTCATAAAGACATTTCTCAAGAGTCAAGTGTTTTAAAAGACTGATGTTGCATCAGGATTTTTTTATTTTGCAAAGGGCCATAATTCAATCAGAATCCATGATAGAGTTATGAGCCTTCTAATATGACCTAAAATATTTTTAATGTTTGATGAGATATGATTTTGTACAAGAAGTAACTTGAAACCTTTTAACCAAAATGTTACGCCGACACCAAGCTAACAGGATAACAGGAATAGTCTCACTAGTCTTCAAATAGGTGTCAAAAAAGTGTGAATTTCTATGAAGCAGACAAATGTGCACAATGCTTTAAGTAGATACATTATCCTATATAACTTGTAAATATTTGAGAAAAATGCTAAAGTAAAGCACACTTGTTTGTTAATCAGGTACTATTCCATATTTTAGTAGATACAATATCATTAACCCCTGGTCTAGAGTTTTAACATAACAAGAGCTGTCGGTAGGACAGCAAGGCTCAACTATTCTTAGTGCTTGATAGTAAAAAAAGCCTTGATAATGTAAAAGTTTCTAAGTTAACAAAAGGGCATTTTTTTTCTTTAAATCCATGTTACAGTTATAGGCCTTGAAGAGAGTCCTATAATGCTCTCAAAGAAGAGTATAAAATTTCAACTTGTTTCAAAGCCAGATGTCAATAGAATATGAAAATATCTGAGGTGGTATGCAAACTTAAATGTAAATTCTAAGTTGAACAAGAGGGCCATGATGGCCCTGAGGTCACTCACCTGTATATAGGCCCCCGGGGCGGGGCCAGTATAAACTCCAGGGCTTTTATTTGAACAAACTTGGTAGACACCCATAAGAAGATGTTTCATGCTAAACATCTAAGCTCTAGCTCATTGGGTTTTTTAAAAGAAGATTTTATAAGTTTTTACTATACACATATAGTTAAAAACAATGACACCCCTGGGGCGGGGCCAGTTTTGACCCAAGGGCTTTTATTTGAACAAACTTTGTAGACACTTACTAGAAGATGTTTCATGCTTAATATCTAAACTCTAGCTATTTGGGTTTTTTCAAAGAAGATTTTTAAGTTTTTGCTATACACATATAAGGAAAATCAATGACCCCCAGGGCGGGGCCAATTTTAACCCCAGGGCTTTTATTTAAAAAAACATTGTAGACACTCACTAGAAGATGTTTCATGCTTAATATCTAAACTCTAGCTATTTGGGTTTTTTCAAAAAAGATTTTTTAAAGTTTTTGCTATACACATAAAAAGAAAATCAATGACCCTCGGGGCGGGGCCAATTTTGACCCCAGGGTTTTTATTTGAACAAACTTGGTAGACATTCACTAGAAGATGTTTCATGCTAAATATCTTAGCTCTTTGAGTTCTTTAAAAGAATTTTTTTAAGTTTTTACTATATGCATATAGGGGAAATCAATGACCCCCTGGGGCGGGGCCAATTTTGACCAAAGGGCTTTTATTTGAACAAACTTGGTAGACACTCACTAGAAGATGTTTCATGCCAAATATCTAAGCTCTAGCTCTTTGGGTTCTTTAAAAGAAGATTTTTTAAATTTTTACTATATGCATATAGGGAAAATCAATGACCCCCCTGGGGCGGGGCCAATTTTGACCCCAGGGCTTTTATTTGAACAAACTTGGTAGACACTCACTAGAAGATGTTTCATGCCAAATATCTAAGCTCTAGCTCTTTGGGTTTTTTAAAAGAAGATATTTAAAGTTTTTTCTTTTGGTTGCCATGGCAACCAGAGTTCTGCATGGAATTAAATTCTTTGAATAATTTTTAAAGGTGACCACCAAAGGAACATTCCTGTGAAGTTTGGATGAAATTGGCTTAGTGGTTTATGAGGAGATGGCATTTAAAGTAAAAGTTTACGGACGGACGTCGGACGAAAAGCGATCACAAAAGCTCACCCTGTCACTTTGTGACAGGTGAGCTAAAAAAGGCATTATTCTGCCAAATGCTTGATACAGTTACCTCCTCCTGTCTACAGGTTGGGGTTATGATGGTGAACAAGACTTAGTGTGCAAAGTTTCAAAGCCATATGTCAATGGACTTTGAAAATATTCGAGGTATTACAAAAACTTTAACGTAAGTGGATACGCCGACGCAGACACTCGGGTGACTACAATAGCTCTACTTATTCTTATCGAATAGTCGAGCTAAAAATTACAAAAGAATGAATCACCACTTACTGTTTAAGTTCTGATATTGTGAGTTGCCATTTATTCTTAGTCAACATTACGAGCGCAAACTAAGTTCTCCATCATTAACCAGCACAACCTAAGTTCTCCATCATATACCAGCAAGAAACCACTATTAAACTTAATGAAATAATATACAATTTCTTGGTACAAACCTCCAGCTAAATCATCCCAATCACTGTCATCAGAATCACCAAATAATGTCTTAGAATCTACAGGCTCATCTGCAGTGTTTCCTTTCTTGTTACATAATATAGCTGGTCGAGAACCACTTTGCTCACAAGGGTCTCTAGATTTGGCAAAGAATGGGTTGCCATCATCATCTGAAAATATTCAAACAAAAACAAAGAAATCATGTAACAGGTTTCATTATTGTTTGTACATAAATGTTTTACAAGAAATATCAACAGATATTAAAATGATTACATAATATATGCTTTAAACATATCCCCTTTTCAATAACACTAAAATGCACAAAACACAGTCCTTCGTGTAAATACACAATGTATTAGCTTTTCTTTATTTGATTTTGGCTTGGGTTTAACGGGTTTTACGTGACATCAATTAACATTGCTAAAATCAAATGTCAACATTCCAGTTTTTATTGGAAGAAACCAAATGACACTAGTTGTAGTACTTCAGGCTTGAACAAGTACATGTAACTATGAACTTTTAATCACAACAGCAACATATAAATATTTAGCAAAGTAAGAAAAATCCATGAAAATTTTTTTTACCTGTTTCCTTTTTCAAATTCTGTTTTAGTTTTAAAGATTCTTTCTCTTTAGATTTTGAACTTTGGCTAGAACTCTGTGAACTCCCTGCAGCAATATTGCTAAAATGCCTGTCACTTTTCTTTCCCTTAGCCTCTAGCATTGCTTTGTGCTTATCTATTTGCCTTTTTAAAAGGTCTGAACTAGACTGCTTATCTGTTTTCAAGCTTTTATCACTGTCAATTTTATGAGAATGTTTTTTCCCCAAAGAATCTGTATTCTGTGATTTTGGACTGGTTCTAGACTTTCCATTAGAATGTGATTTATGTTTGTTCTTTTCTGATTCTGGACTGGTTTTGGACTTTTTCTTGCATGACTCTGGACTAGACTTGGACTTTTTCAGCAATGATTTCAATTCTTTCATTCTTTTTGCCATGGCAGCCATTTCAGCTATAAAATACAACACATGTATGACAATTCTATTTTAAATGCTCATATAGAAAAAATTCAATTGCAAAATTTCTAGTGCATGATTCAAGTAGCAAATTAACATTAAACTAGAACTGTGTCCAAAGGACACGGATGCCCCCACTGACAACATATATATGGTATATAGTGAAAAAATCAACAAAGGGCCATAATTCTGTTAAATTTGGTCGCAGCAAAAATTCCTTCCTTTACTACCATCTACACATTAAGGTTGTTCATCCCTGGAAGTTTAAGCAAAATCTGCCATCCGGTTTAAGAGGAGTTGCGTTCACAAAATTTCTATATGGTATATAGTGAAAAAATCAACAAAGGGCCATAATTCTGTTAAATTTGGTCACAGCAAAAATTCCTTCCTTTACTATCATCTACACATTAGGGTTGTTCATCCCTGGAAGTTTAAGCAAAATCTGCCATCCGGTTTAAGAGGAGTTGCGTTAACAAAATTTCTATATGGTATATAGTGAAAAAATCAACAAAGGGCCATAATTCTGTTAAATTTGGTCACAGCAAAAATTCCTTCCTTTACTACCATCTACACATTAGGGTTGTTCATCCCTGGAAGTTTAAGCAAAATCTGCCATCCGGTTTAAGAGGAGTTGCGTTCACAAAATTTTTACATGGTATATAGTGAAAAAATCAACAAAGGGCCATAATTCTGTTAAATTTGGTCGCAGCAAAAATTCCTTCCTTTACTACCATCTACACATTAAGGTTGTTCATCCCTGGAAGTTTAAGCAAAATCTGCCATCCGGTTTAAGAGGAGTTGCGTTCACAAGATTTCGGGACGTACGGACGGACGTACGGACGGACGGACGGACAAGTGCAACGCTATATGCTCCCACTCTGTGGGGGCATAAAAATTAAGGATCAAAACATTAAAAAATATCCAAACAAGTCTTTATTTTACTATATTGAAAGATATTGTTTTAATTAAATGTTAAGTCATTACATTGCAAAACATTCAACTATTCTCAAGGGGGAAATAACAACAAATACATGTAAAAGGCAACCATACTATTGAATTTCTGTTGGACCTTTCTGTTCGTTTCATTAAAATAGTCTAATAATTTTATTTTTGAAAAAAATAAAAAAAATATAAATAAATAGATTTTTTAGTTGCAATACAGCAAAGTTTTTTGTTCAAATAATGACAACTTAATGGCACTATTGTTCAATTGCTTTAAGACTTTTTATTGTTTTGCAAAATATAACATTTACCTTTAATATCATCGAAGTTTTAAAACAGAGAAGCATTATAAACTGTCATATCTGACCTTCAATTAACTCGTGGGCAAGATTTTCAGAATCACTGCCACTATCATCTCCATCTGTGCCATCTTCACAATCAGATTCCTCTGTAACCTTCCTAGATATTTCTTCATTTTCACCCTCAGACTGTGTTGTGTTAACATCCTGCTCTAACTGGTTTACTGTTTTTCCCTGACTAGTTCCAGTATCTTGTGAGTCCATCATTTCTTCAAGCTCCTGAAAGTCACCTTCCTCAAAATCTAGAAGTAAATACATTTAACTTATTGATGACTATCAGATTGATCAAGATCTAACAGTTTTCCCCCATAAGCTTCATTAAAACAAGATGTAGCATAAAATTAAATTCTGCAACAGTTTAAGATTTAAATAAAGTAGACAACCCAGTGGTCATTAAAGTTCACTTTCTTTTCTGCAAAACAGATAAGCAAAAAAAAAAATAATGATTGACATGTACAATTTATTCTAAAACAATACATGTACAATGTAGAAAAAACTTCCACATTCAGAAATAATATATGGAAAAAATTATAAAAGAAACTTATAAGGTAATTAAAAGGTTATCAAAAGCTTATTTTACACACTATACAGATGCAACACTTGTAACAAAATTTGTCTCAATATTTAAACTTCTTTAGACACTGAAACTAAAACACACTATAATGTGACTTTTTGATATGAATATTAAACTTTATTCACCTTCAAAATCCATTTCCTCTTGAATAGATTTACTTTTCTCTATTACTTTTGCAGGTTCTTCTCTTTCTTCATTTTCTTTCGTTTCAGACTCAACATTGTCATCATCATCATCGTCATCAGAAGCTTGTAAAAATGCTTCTATATCCTCCAGATTGCATTCATCATCTTCTATTAATAATAATTCAGGTCTAATGGATAGCAGATATTATTTAAAAATAGAGATTGTTTTATAATCTGCAATAATGAGAATTTTAATAATATCTTCATACTGATATCATAAAGTCTAAAAGGTTACTTTGCAGTAGGAAGAGTGGAAGACTTATTCATGCTGAATGATTGAACACTACTGGTTTCCTAGCAGTTTCCGGCCACAAATTGCATAAAAATAAAATAAATTTCAGTCTACTGAGGTGTACAAAACATTGACATTGGACAAAGTTAGGTACCTGTCCAACATTTCCATGTGTTTAATGTTGCACTTTCATTTTACTTTTTAATTTGAATTAGGCCTGAAACGTAACACCTTTTTTCACCTTAATTCAAAAATTCATAGCAGTTTTCCAGACATTTTTTATTTTGAATATAGTTCAGTACCATAAAGCAATTTTAAGATGGTTTTATCAGACAAACAGAACTTCCCAACCTTTTCCGAGTTGTCTGCAAATTTTTTTCTGAAGTATTGATTTACCTATTGCGCATGCATATTCAAACTAGAATTCCCCAGGTGTTGCTTATTTTTGAAAGTCGCAAGTTCTCTTATTAACTTTTAATAACAGGCAAAACTTCAAAACTTAAAAATGGTTATACTATTTTAAATGCTGTTTAGCATAGAAAACAAATGTCTCTCTGATTGATGAAGTAATGTGGATGCCTTACTGTAAAAATAGACTGTACTGGACGAAAATGATAAACAGCCGGAAAACTGCTAGGGGACGGAAACTGCTAGGCAACCAGTTGTGTATAATAAATGTTAGAATATGAAATAATTTTAATTTCAGCCTCATTAAAATATCCCTTCATTTATTCATTAAAAAGTCCAAGGCTGCTGCTTCAAAATTTTAAACCTACTATTGTTTTTCTTTTTTCTTTTCATAAACTTGAAGTCTTCATGCTTAATTATCATTTAAAGAATAATAAATAGTCTTAAATGAATATTTAGCTACTACTTTCAGAGAATGATAAAAATACATAAAGGATGATACAATTACTCTGACATAGAAATGGAATGATATTATGTTGAATTGTTCCATGTTACAACACACATGTACCTGTTTTATTATCTACTTTTTTACTATCTACTGGCTTGGCTTCAGTTTTGTCACCAGTATCAGATTTATCAGATTCTTCCTTAACTTCTTTCAGTTTGTTCTGTTCCTCATCATCAGAAGCTTCTAGAAATGCTGTAAGTTCCTCTAGTTCACACTCATCTATTTACCAGAAATTAATTAGGTTAATTAGGAGAATTATATTCATAGCCATAGGGTCATTGATTGACCTTTTAGGTAAGTAAAGTCTTGCCATTTTGGACTATATATCTAAGACTGGCTGATTAGGTTGATGACAATAAGTCTAATGTCCTGATGTATCAATGCAGAGATAATAGGAAAGCCAAGTGGAAAACAGGCATTTAAGTACAGTATACAATCAAAGGCACTATTTACTAAGTTTCCATGTCACATATGCATGTCCTACTTATATATGTTTTAAATGGAAATAAATACATTAGTCTAAAATAAAATAATTTGCTCACCTGCCATTTCTATTTCTTTAGCTCAGACCTGAAATTGAATATTTAGTTGGAAAGAATTTAATAAAAGTTAACAGGAAAAAGTGAAATATAAGAAAACATGAAATGTCGACCAACACATATGCCCTCCTTTCTAGCCCTTGACTCACATAATTGGTAATTTTGTTATAGAAACTTGCCATAAATGGGTGCATGGAAGTGTTCAATTATGGATAAAAGAAAAATAATGAAGACTTTGTGATAAATAATTTTCAAGATAATCAGCAGAAACCATGTGGTCTACCGACGGACAGATTGACAGACATTTAATAGCAAAACAATATACACCCTCTTCTTCGAAGAGGGGCATAATAATGTTGTTCGTAAAACAGATATCTCTAGTCTTTTTTGTATCCAAATTAAATTACATGATTTAAAATATTACAAATCTTAAAAGTAATTATTAATATATTTTGTCCCTGAAAGCAAAATTATTTTTGTTTTTAAAACAACAAGAGCTGTCAACAAAGCGATGCAGTTTGATTTTCTTGGTCCTGGATAATGAAAATCAACAGGGAGATAATTTAAACAAGAGGACCATGATGGCCCTAATATCGCTCACCTGAATTTAAACATTCTGTATGACAAGGATTGAAGGAACAAGTAAAACTATAAATGAAAGCAGAATTAAAATCTAAATCTTAAACTGACATATACCAAAGTTTGTTTTTGTATCTGAAATAGTGCATGTGTAAAATCTTTACTAAGGGAAAACAACAGTTCAATAAGATGTCAGTGTTTGCTATACAAAATAAAGGGTTTTATTGAAAGTTGGTGCCTGCTATGAAATTCAATGGTAGATTTGATTGTTGCTAGTATGGAAAGTTAATGTTTGCTGCTTGCTGTGAAAATTTACAGTAGTTTGCTATGAAAAGTCAATGGCTGCTATGAAGTCACTGGTTGTTGTGGAAACTAAGCTTTAGCTCTTGTTTATTTAGGAATTTTTTTTTAAGATTTACTTTAGACATATATAAGGAAAATCAATGACTCCCTGGGACTGGCCAATTTTGACCTTAGGGCTTTGTTTGTACAAACTTGGTAGACATCCACTAGAAGATGTTTTATGCTTAATATCTAAGCTCTCGCTCTTTGGATTTTTAAAAGAAGATTTTTTAAAGTTTTTTTTCTTTCTGTTGCCATGGCAACCAGAGTACTGCATGGAATTCAATTCTTTGAACAATTTTTAAAAAATTTACAGGAACATTCCTGTAAAGTTTGGATGAAATTGGCTTAGGGGTTTATGAGATAAGGTTTAAAGTAAAAGTTTAAGGACACTGACATATGCTAGACAAATTGCAATCACAAAAGCTCACCATGTCACTTTGTGAAAGGTGAGCTTTAAACATACCAATAACCATATACTGCCCAGATGATAATACCTTAAGCTTGGTTGTAGATCTCTCTAAAAAAAACACTCTGTTCAAGTGAACAAATATGGACTGCATATACAACAGGAGGGAGTTTAGATTTTCAATTCTACAACATCACATAAAGATGGCATTTGATAAACCTTGTAAAGCAAACCATACAAAGGCTTATATCGTATAAGTACCTATTCTCACACCCAACCTATTCTCAAACCTTTCATTCATGTGCTGTTATTTTTTTACTAGAAGTGACTATGATGTCCTGTACTTGTGTGCATAAAAGCTTAGCTTCTGATAGACATGTCTGCTGATGTCAAATGAAAACAGTGCATAGGAACAAATATTTACATAACATATTTTATTACTTTGTGTAATTTCATACAAATTGCTATTACCTTTGTAAGTCCCATTAATACACCATTAACTATTTGTGAAAATGAATATTATAGACAAAAATATCTTAAAGCATGTACCTGCATCATGTAGGATACTTCATTGTCATGTGATAGTCATATAACAATCACTTATTTGGCTAAAATAAACAGTAGAATTTTAGAAATATTTGAAGGGGTTTGAGATTAGGTTCTTTATTTTAAGAGGCCATGTCAGTTTTAAAACAGAGGGTTGTGCTTTTCCAAGATGAAAATGGAGCTTTTATAATTGTTGAATTTCAGTCAAATTTGACAGAAATGTTACATAAAGATTAAAGTGTACATATGTAAAGAATTTTAATAAAGATATATTTTTATTTACACTAAAAGACCTCTTGAATGCTTAGAGGTTTGAGAACTGGTTAGTCCACGATAAAATAAAACTGTTACAAAACTTACAATTAAGTATTAATTTAACAGTTAAATTTAATTTATAAATTTTTGCTTTACGACACAGATAAGGTGAGGAACTGGCCGGTTGGCAAATGCTCTTATATGCATTTCTTAAAATATATAAATAATGTTTGAGGAAATAAAAAGTTAACGAAACATTGTTACATTCCGCCCAGGGCGAAATGCTGCGAGGACGAAACATACTTCTTTGCTTTGTAAAGAAGGCCCTAGTAAAATATATTCACTTCAATCGAGACAAAAACCTGAAGAATTTTGTTTTCATATCTAAATTTACCTTTAAAATGTTGTAAGTCAAAGATCCTCGCAAGATTTTAATTTGTTTATTTTCTCAAAATACGCGGTTTTGTTTACTCCCGCAAATTCAGATCGGTAATCGTGAAAACGTAGTGTTGTGAGAATAGCTTTAGGTCAGGCTACTATATTGATTTTCCCATTGATTTTTTCCCATTTTAAAGAAATTACCTTTAAAAAAATGACCCCAAGACCTACCTTAATTAAAATTGAGTGGGGAATAATATGCCAGACACGTAAAAAAGATCTTGTTCCCATGCCACCAGCATCTCTGCCTATTAGCCATTTTGGGGCATTGTTTTCACTTGTATGCTTAAATTGTGCTAATAAAATATGTTTGTTTATTTCCACGTTCTTACCAATAACAAAACTAGGTGTACCTACCCCAAATCATACCCATTTGAATTGATTGGTTGTTCATCTACGACTACCAGGTACTTCTAGCAGAAGTTCGAAAGTATCTTTAACTTTCTATTGAAATATTATACTAACAGTCTCCAAATCATGTAAGATAAAAAATTAAAGGATGTAAAGAGACATAAAACCATATTTTTCTAATTATTATTATTATTATTATTATTATTATTATTATTATTATTATTATTATTATTATTATTATTATTATTAAACACGAGGGAACGCAGGACTATCAAAAAATGAAGTTCCAGATTATGAACTTAGTTCTTATTATGTTGTTATACTGTTGTTTTCCCCCTTCATATGAACTACTTTATAAGGTTCGTAATTTATTGTTTGATTATCCCAGGTTTACCGTTAATATATATATATGGAAATGAAAGAACACTAACCGAATATCTTTCATTTTGTCTACACAAGTATAGCCTAAATATCCAATGTTGCTTATAAATCACAAGAAATAACGAGTACATTTTATTTCTTTTATTTCCATAATAAACTCGGAAATCTGTGTAACACTCTGAGGAAGCAGACATACGGCTAGAACAAAATGTTAACATAGTACTTTAATCAATGGAGTCCATCTCCTCACAAGGATATAGACATGGAAATGAAAAAAATTGGGGGGAAAACCAGGCATGGTTTTCCAACCAATGGGATATAGTCATTCATCTGTTATTCAATAGAAATGGGTTTACGTATGAGGTTTTTGTAGAGTTTTGTAGCGAAAAATCCTATCAACGTCGCAGAAAATGAGCAAGTGGTCTTTAAGAACAAATTGAATTTGCAGAGCCCTGTTATTGACAGTTTTGTAAACGCGCGGTACCTAAAAAAAAATACCAGGGATGTTCTAATTTTGTATTATTATCAAAATCATTTTTCATTAATAACTGTTTTTATCCATGAGAAAAACAATTTTTATATTTGAAAAAGACTACACTGCTAACGAAATAAGAGACATTAAAAAGTCCTTAATAAGAAACTGTTTAAAATTTTGGGAAAATAGTTTATTGTTTGCAAGCCTTTTTATTGACAGAAATTTTAATAATGGGGGAATGTACCTAATTAAAAAAAACCATGTATGTTCTGTTTTGTATTGATATAAAAACATTCTCGTATATAACTGTTTTTAAAAGTTCAGTTTCAACTATTTAAATTATTTTTAAATAATACTGCTGTACATGATGAAATTCTGTAACACTGGATCCGCACGTGAGCAAAGACAACATAATAAAGCTAAATAAGGCAAACTAATCTTCAGGTGTCCTCATTCAGAAGTTATTTTTTCCACAGCTTAACGATGAATCACACATTTAACATATATATTAATAACTGATCTTTTTTTCAGAAAAACGAAAAAAAAACAACAAAAAAAACATTTTTTTAAAGTAAAAAAAAAACTCAATAAATAAAATATACATAGATCAAATTTAGTAAAACCTGACTTGCTAATTAAGTGAAGCAGTTCTTTGAATCTACACTTTCATTACTTAATTAGTTGTAAAGTTATATTTCAACTTTTGTGGTCAGACAAATACTGTACATTACTGTACGTTTTAGTAATTGTATTTTTGTCTTATTTCACTTGTACACTAACAAATGTTGTCTTGGTTTAACAACACGAACGATGGGTTGCCGACTCTTTAAAATTATTTTATATACATATGTAATGTATTCTCAGTAAATATGATATTACAAAGTTATTGAGGAATTGTCAATGAAATCTGAACGTTCTATGTCCCAGATGAAATACAAATAACTTTTCCATGGCTATTATAACTATGATATCTGTCATTGCTTATTTAAATGCTGTTACATATAATCTTCATTATGTCGTTTTATTCAAATTAACTTACAAAATGCAGATTAAAACAATAGGGGAATGCTAATAGTTCTACACTGATCGGAGCTTGTAGATCAACTTAATACATTTGAAAACTGTAACATATATAGCATAAAAATATGAGTTTAAAACAAAACTTACATACCACAGTCATAAAAATGTACATATATTAATAATTACAAGTATCATGTATATTTGGATATGTATACAAGTTCAACTGCATGAATAATAAATTCGCATTGGTTAAAGTATTCATGGAAAGTATGGGGAAACCAAATAACACTTTTTTACAATGTATATGAAAAATGTCTTCAGTTCTTGATCTTCTTTTGACAATCATCTGGTTTTACTTATAATTTAATATTTTACATAAATTCAATACTTTTACATGTACAATCAGGCAGACATTCAATCACAGCTATCTAAAGTAATCAACAACATAAAACATGAAAAATATATAGAGGATGAGATACTAAGATAATAACGAAATATAAGTTAATAATTCTGTCTCATATTACACTGTACGTTGTACATCTTTCACACTTATTCACATATTGCGCGCCTTTCTTCACGGCATAATTTTGCATAAGTTATTCTTTTTGTCACATTGACTTCTTTAATATTTTTATCTCATATAGTCACTGAAATCGGTGAATGTTAATATAGTAAGTTTTACAATCTATCTGCATGGACTGATCAATGTCCGTGACTTGATCATCTTTTTTCTTATTATCATCAAACAAATATTTTGCCCAAGCACTACTAGTGTTTTCAATGCTTTAATTACATGTATTCGTACTTTCTATTCTTGTTGCTTGACCTTATATTCAATTACGTATAACTGATTACATAACTTAGAAAAACACTTCACCACAGACATATAATATGTGTCATACAATGTTTTCCCCATATTTACAAAACATTTGAAACTACATGTATTTGCTGAGAAGGAACTGTAATATATGGACATTTAAACAACAAAATTGTGCATGGTTTAATATACACTGAACGTCTTTCTTAGAAACCGAAGTTATTTTATCTATATATCTAACATAAAACATAAATGTAAGCATCATCTACGGTTAAACATCTCTGAGTGATCAATTTTGTGCTTGATATGTAATTTATTTTAAGAACAATAATTCAGTGTCGCTCTCACAAATAACTGCCATAATATCACGAATCTAAAGTAGCACATAATGATGGAAACACATAGAATGTTTCACTTCTAATCAGGCTTTAATTCCACTACCTAAGTAAATGATCTATCAACAAACTTATGAAAAATGAGCAGTGAGTGTACATATACTAATAATGAACGTGCACGTTGTTTTATAACTTAATTACGCCACAGCTATACCTGTAATATTTTACAAATACAATGTTATAAACACAAACCCTGTCATACATTACATAAATTGTACAATTCACCAGTTCAAATTGACTCACATCTTTTCTCACGTTCTCACACAACCATATAAACATAAATTATACACACATCCATCAAAACTTACAATAAATAGGGTATCACAAAAGTATTTTAGTAGATATAATTCTGTATGTTGCCTTCTTATGAGTAAAACTTACGAAAAGAAAAAAAAAACTAAAACCAATTTAATCTTTTCAATTATTATACATCTTTTAATCTTGTGGCGAAAAATAGAATGATGGAATTCTTGAGAAAAGAAATCGAAATGTTCGCGAAACAACTAGAATTTCTGGAGGAATAAATAATTTGATAAAACCTAAATTCGGACATAACTTATTTACCAGGTTTTCTTGTCTTCTTAGAGTCCTTTTCGTCGTCAGAGCCAAATATAGAAGTTTTAACCAAATCAATTAAATCTATTTCTTCTTCATGATCTTTATTGTCTTTAGTTTTACTTTTAGTATTACGTTTAACGTTATTTTTCTTATTTATATTAACATTGCTTTGTTTTTTAGGTTGAGCTTTTGGAATGTTTTTGATAACTTTCTTTCTCGTATCGTCGTCTTCATCTGATAAAAACATGTCTTTTAAACTCGCAACTATACGACCGAATAAACTCTGTCCCTTTTCGTCTTCTTTATTATCATCATCGTCGTCTTCATCGTCTCTCTTTGACTCCTGATTGTCCGGAATACCATCATTGTCGTCGTCGCTATCGAAAACATCTGGAATACCATCCCCGTCTTCGTCGGGTAAATTGTCCGGTATACCGTCGCCATCGGCATCAGTATCAAGATGGTCTGGAATTCCGTCGCCATCGGCATCTTCCTCGTTGTCAGGAATACCATCACCATCATCGTCATCATCAAGATAGTCTGGAATCCCATCATTATCATCGTCATCATCTAGATAGTCTGGAATGCCATCTCCGTCTGTGTCCTTCTCCATGAAATCTGGTATGCCGTTTCCATTAGCATCTGAATCTTGGTCGTCAGGTATGCCGTCATTATCGTCATCATCGTCTAAATAATCTGGTATACCATCGCCATCAGTATCAATTTCTTGATAGTCTGGTATACCGTTTCCATCGGCATCATCATCTAAATGATCCGGAATACCATCATTATCATCATCGTCGTCAAGATAATCCGGTATTCCATCGCCGTCGGTATCAATTTCATCTTCGTCTTTAATTCCATCACCATCATCATCGTCATCTTCGTCATTTGGAATTCCATCTCCGTCGATATCATCGTCAAGATAATCTGGAATACCATCACCGTCTGTGTCCTTTTCCTTGTCATCTAATATACCATCGCCATCATCGTCGTCATCCTGTTCGTTAGGGATCCCATCTCCGTCTATATCGTCGTCCAAATAATCAGGGATTCCATCACCATCAGTGTCTTTCTCCTTATCATCTGGAATACCATCACCGTCATCATCGTCATCTTCATCGTTTGGTATACCGTCCCCATCAATATCATCGTCGAGATAATCAGGAATGCCATCGCCATCAGTATCCTTTTCAAGATAATCTGGAATACCATCACCGTCATCATCGTCATCTTGATCATTGGGTATTCCATCTCCGTCTATGTCATCATCTTCTTCATTGGGTATTCCGTCTCCATCAATATCGTCATCAAGGTAATCTGGAATTCCGTCCCCGTCGGTATCCTTTTCGAGTGAGTCTGGGATACCATTTCCATTGTCGTCATCATCCTCATCATTAGGTATGCCATCTCCATCTATGTCATCATCCTCATCGTTCGGAATTCCATCCCCATCAATATCATCATCAAGGTAATCTGGTATTCCGTCACCGTCTGTATCTTTTTGTAAAATGTCTGGAATACCATCGCCATTTTCATCTTTTTCTAAGTAATCAGGAATACCATTCCCATCAATGTCTTTTTCTAAGTAATCAGGAATACCATCTCCATCATCATCATTATCTTTATCATTCGGTATACCATCACCATCAATGTCATCATCCAAATAATCCGGTATACCATCCCCATCAGTATCTTTCTCTTTATCATCTGGTATGCCATCGCCATCATCATCATCATCTTGGTCATTCGGTATTCCATCTCCATCAATATCGTCATCTAAATAATCAGGAATTCCATCTCCGTCAGTATCTTTTTCCTTGTCGTCAGGAATTCCATCACCATCATCGTCGTCATCTTGATCATTTGGTATTCCATCTCCATCAATATCATCATCAAGATAATCTGGAATACCATCTCCATCAGTATCTTTTTCCTTGTCGTCAGGAATTCCGTCACCGTCGTCATCATCATCTTGATCATTCGGTATTCCGTCTCCATCAATATCATCATCCTGGTCATTAGGTATTCCATCACCATCAATGTCATCGTCAAGATAGTCTGGAATTCCATCTCCATCTGTGTCTTTTTCCTTATAATCTGGAATGCCATCGCCATCATCATCGTCATCTTGATCATTTGGTATTCCATCCCCATCAATATCATCGTCTAAATAGTCTGGTATGCCGTCGCCATCCGTATCTTTCTCCTTATCATCGGGTATTCCATCGCCATCATCATCATCGTCTTGATCATTTGGTATGCCATCACCGTCAATATCATCATCTAAATAATCAGGAATACCATCACCATCAGTATCTTTCTCTTTGTCATCTGGAATGCCGTCACCATCATCATCGTCATCTCTGTCATTAGGTATTCCGTCACCGTCAATATCATCGTCCAAGTAATCAGGAATTCCATCGCCATCTGTGTCTTTTTCTTTGTCGTCTGGAATACCATCACCATCATCGTCGTCATCTTCATCATTTGGAATGCCATCGCCGTCAATATCATCATCAAGGTAATCTGGAATGCCGTCTCCATCAGTATCTTTTTCTTTGTCATCGGGAATACCATCGCCATCATCATCGTCGTCCTTGTCATTCGGTATTCCGTCGCCATCAATATCATCATCTAAGTAATCCGGTATTCCATCTCCATCAGTGTCTTTCTCCATGTAATCAGGTATACCATTCCCATCATCATCATCATCTTGATCATTAGGAATGCCGTCTCCATCAATATCATCATCTTCGTCATTTGGTATACCATCCCCGTCGATATCATCATCAAGGTAGTCAGGAATACCATCTCCATCAGTGTCTTTTTCTTTGTCATCAGGAATACCATCGCCATCATCATCATTATCTTGATCGTTTGGAATACCATCGCCATCAATGTCATCATCTTGTTCATTAGGTATACCATCGCCATCGATGTCGTCATCAAGGTAATCTGGAATTCCGTCACCATCTGTATCTCTCTGTTGATAGTCTGGAATACCATCGCCATCATCATCATCGTCTAGGTAGTCCGGTATTCCATCATTGTCATCATCGTCATCTAAATAATCTGGAATTCCGTCTCCGTCGGAATCTCTTTCTTTGTCATCTGGAATTCCGTCATTATCGTCATCATCATCTACCGCATCAGGTATTCCATCACCATCTGCATCTTCAAGATTATCAGGTATTCCGTCTCCGTCGTCATCTTCGTCTTCATCATTCGGAATCCCATCACCATCGATATCATCGTCTAAATAATCAGGAATGCCGTCACCATCTGTGTCCTTTTCAAGTTCATCTGGAATTCCATCTCCGTCAGCATCATCGTCTTTATCGTTTGGAATGCCATCACCATCAATATCGTCATCTTCATCATTTGGAATTCCATCTCCGTCAATGTCGTCATCAAGATAATCAGGGATCCCGTCACCGTCTGTGTCCCTTTCTTTCCAGTCAGGAATTCCGTCATTGTCCGAGTCATCGTCCTGGGAATCCGGTATACCGTCATTATCATCGTCATCATCAAGGTAATCAGGAATACCATCGCCATCGCTATCCTTCTCTAAGTAATCTGGTATTCCGTCACCATCGCTATCAATTGTTTTACAATCATCACCGTCGCATTGGTTTTTTTCTTTATCGTCAGCATCATTTGATCCACTCCAAAATCCAAGAATTTTTCTTTGACAGAATGTACATGTTTCCTGAAATGGAAGAAGTAAATTATTACTATGCATTGGTATCTTTCTTGCATTTGACAGACACTTATCTTTTCAAAACTACATCATATTGTTTGTATACTTTGTGTTTTTCATGCTTTCAGTTGATGTATATATATATTTCTCTATTCTCATATACACTAAATTAAAATTATGCAAACATAAAGATGTTTCAGTTGGCATGCACCAAATTACATACATAAATCTACACCATGCTGTAACGTTTGGTCTTTGAATAATAACTCTTTTTTATGTCATTTACTGCAAACTTGCTTCAAATTAAAATTTATCAGATTATTCAACACAGGCGGCTGAAAAATAGTTACATAAAATTGTAAGTAAACACTCAAGATGTACGATGTTTCTTTCTTTATTGAAATACTAGAAAAAAATTATTTTAATGGACTTTGTACCGATTGCGTTAGATTATTATGATTTGTATTTTATCTTGTCTATCACCTTAATTCGATATGTTGCAATCCATTGGATGTTAAATAAAAACAGTCGTTTGTTTTCCAAGTACTAGTAACCGGAAATTACAAAATATGGCATTACATTATGGTGACGCATTTGTTCTTAAATCAAACACCAAATGAAGATAGTTGTTATAATTAAACAGTGCGCGTCTTTCGGAAAGCATAACCTTGTTTTAAGAAATTGTTCAGATCAATGGCAGCTGTTCAGCCATTTTCGTTATTCTTCAGCAACCCGCGAGGGTTCCATTTAAACAATGTGGATAACTTTGTTTCGGAAACTTGCACAAATTGGCTGATTAAACATTACACTCACTGGAATATAAAATGACGCTAGTGCTATGCTAGTGTACGTTATTTTTTATTAACATAGCCAATCAAAAATAAGTGCATGAGGAGTGGTCGCAACATTTTTTCTATGTGTTTTTTATGATAAGTATGCATTAATATATTTGTAAGTTGTATCCGGTGTACCAAATCACCAAATTCAAAATATTTTCTCCGTTAATGTAAAACGTATTGTTTCAATTTAAATGAAAACTGTATAGATACATATTTAATCTATTAAGAGGCAAACTGTAAAATATAAAAATGCCTAGTATATCACAACCCAACACAAATACAGCCAGTTACAATTATGTCCATGCCATTTAATAGCCTAGATTTCCATTCTTCTTGTGTGTGCTATGCATGCAAGGATTAGTAGATCAGTACGTTACTAACATTAACAGTGATGTATGTAATTGCTGATTGCCATTGTGTTTCATTTATGATGAATACTTTTTTATCAATCATATCACAATTTAAATGTTGTATCTTGGGTCCTTAGAATAAAACAAATATACTGACAAAAATGTAGAATTAGAAAAAACGATCAAGCTACAAAATTAATCAGCAAAATATTGATCCTTGTTAACCCCAGAAATTAACAAATATTTATTTGTGTTTACATCATTTATATAAAAAAAATGATACATGTTACAAAAAATGACTATTTGCCGGAAGTTACCATTTTGTTTCGGATATGTATAATATAGCCATGCAATGACATTTTTCATGTCACACTTGTTTTAAACCAAAATGTATCAGGGTAAAATCATTGACTTACAAATCTGATTGGGCCAACTTATATATAAATGTTCGTTCCCTTTTTTAGTACAAGATTTCTAATAAATTACAACAAAAATAATTTTCACTTTTATTATGGTATAATAAAACATGGAAAGATAAAACATAATATTAAAGTGAAAATATTAACACATTTATAAGGTACAAATACGCCATTGCATCTACAAAAACGAAACTTTTGGCCACTTTTAAGAACACTACAAAAATAAGCGCGTTCTATGTAAAATGTTTCAACAAACAAAGAAATCAGTTTTTACCAGTTTGATAACTTCGTTTATACAATGTCGTAATGAATCTCATAATATATAATAAGTTTGATAAGAACATTAATCCCGATCTTCTCTGCACTAGAGAAAACAGTTTGAAGGCATTCGTTTTGTTTTTGACAAACACGTGTATGGTTTATGCTAAAAATAGTGCTAAATGAAATACATTTGTATTAGATAAACGAAAACTCAGTATAATTTATAAAGTTGTTTGCTTTTAACGTGCCGGATTCCTTCAAGTGATTGCACATATAGACCCAGTCTAGCCTACACATCGGTGCAGTCTGTCCAGACTCTATACTGCTGCTAGACTCTTTTTTGCATGCTGAAATTAAAATCCCTTAATATTTTCTAATTTAAAGCAGGGCGAATTAACCGGAGGTTTTCATTAACACAGGTTGAATTGAGAGGTTAATTTAACACACAACATTTTTTTTAAACAATTAGAAATAATCGAATAATGACAGTCACATATACACACGCTGTTAAAACGAAGATCTCTTGTACAGAACTTTGTCACTTATGGTAAATATATATCGCGTACTTTAATATCTGAATAGTTTAATGAATAATAATTCTCTAAATATTTCCATACTAAGTATCAATATGTGTAATATTGAAACTTTTTTATCAACAACAAATTCCATTAAAGTAACGCTTTTTTATGAAAACACTTTTATACATGATAATGTGTTTTTTCGTTGTCCGAAAAAGTATGTTTAAATTCAACACAACGTAAACATGATAAAGCTAATTTAACTGACACTTCACTCACAGTTTCAACAATATAAGCAAAAGTTCTTTAACGTGCTCCGGATTTTGTTTACTTCTTTCTTTTTATTATTATGGCAATTAAAATCAATCAAGAACAATGTAAAATCAAACACGAAACAAACGATTTTCCACTTTGAGTGGCAAAAATATTCCCCTTACAAGCAATATTGAAAATGGCTAAAGAATTTGGCACCTTCATTATATTTTGTGTTGTGACAAAAGAAGTAATTCATAAATGTAAATGGTTCATTGACAACCGCCTTTCATGGTGTATTTCCTCGATTGTTTAGGTTATTAACTGATTATTCCAACATATTGATATTGTATAATAGTCAAAACTATTCTGGAATGGCTTCGTTCATTATAAAAATAAATTTGTTATAGATGATCTAAGCTCCTGTTTATAACTCATCTGGCCTTTTCCTCCACTGAAAAAGAAAAAGAGAGAGTGTGTGAAATTCATGCGAAAGCATAAGCATCCCTTATCTATAGTTTAGTTTCGGAAGTATTTTTCTAGAACATTCTAGAATACATATATATGATCAAATGTATAGAGGATACTAGTTTGGTTAAAATGAGCATATTTGTCGCTCTCTTTCCATATTTAGTGTGTTAGCACCGATACAAAAACAACAAACACTCGTAGAGGTGTTCCGATCGCTTTAACAAACTATACTTATTATATTATATACCATGCCACGTAACCGTCAAGTAATATTAACAAAGTATCCGAATGATATCTCTTTAGAGCATTTAAATCATATTCTGAAAACAAAATTAGCAGACGTTTCTTATCCAAATACCTTATTAAGTCACAATATGATAATTTAAAATTGTCATTACAGTGGGTAAAAGTATTTGGATTTGTCAATGCCAATCACAATGGACGCAGTGTACTCGCCCAAATACATTTATGTATTATACTAGCCCATGAATACTCGTATACTCTGTTCTTATAGCAAAAAGATTCAGCTTGTGTTGGTAAAGATGCTGAAAGCGTCGGAAAGCATCACTATACTGTTATCTTCACGACCTATAAATCGTGAAATTTCTCATGAATGTACATTACCAAACTAGCAAGTAGATCAGTCAAATAAATATAAAGCTGTATGTTTATGGTTTCGAGTACTTGTGGTTTATCGTAACTAACCCATTGTCACAGTTCTTGTCATTATACAATTATCATGTACAACTGTGTGAGAGCTTTGTATAATTTTTGATGCATATTTAAAGAGAATGGTGTAAATTATTCACTTACTTTGTAAGCACTCTCTTTAACATCGGGTGCATCATAGTTATCGTCGTTATTGTTGTTGTCATCATTTATACCGTCCCCATCAATGTCGTGATCTTCAGAGTCTTCGGTCCCGTCATTATCATCGTCATCGTCTAAATGATCAGGTATTCCGTCGTTATCATCATCGTTATCTCGATAATCGGGATAACCATCTCCGTCAGTGTCCTTCTCTAAGATATCAGGTGTGCCGTCATTATCATCGTCTTTGTCTAAATGATCGGGAATACCATCATTATCATCGTCATTATCTTTGTAATCGGGAATACCATCTCCATCACTGTCTAGTTCTTGGTCGTCATCAATTCCGTCATTATCATCGTCTTTGTCTAAATTATCCGGAATACCATCATTATCATCGTCATTGTCTTTGTAATCAGGAATACCATCTCCATCACTGTCTAGTTCTTGGTCGTCATCAATTCCGTCATTATCGTCGTCTTTGTCTAAATTATCCGGAATACCATCATTATCATCGTCATTGTCTTTATAATCGGGAACCCCATCTCCATCACTGTCTAGTTCCTGGTCATCATCAATTCCGTCACTATCATCGTCTTTGTCTAAATTATCCGGGATACCATCATTATCATCGTCATTGTCTTTATAATCGGGAATTCCGTCTCCATCACTGTCTAGTTCCTTGTCGTCATCAATTCCGTCATTATCATCGTCTTTGTCTAAATTATCCGGAATACCATCATTATCATCGTCATTGTCTTTGTAATCGGGCACACCATCTCCATCACTGTCTAGTTCCTTGTCGTCATCAATTCCGTCATTATCATCGTCTTTGTCTAAATGGTCCGGAATACCATCATTATCATCGTCATCATCTTGGTCATCTGGAATTCCGTCTCCATCACTGTCAAGTTCTTTGTCATCGTCAATTCCGTCATTATCATCGTCTTTGTCTAAGTGATCTGGAATACCATCATTATCATCGTCATCATCTTGGTCATCTGGAATTCCGTCTCCATCACTATCAAGTTCTTTGTCATCATCAATTCCGTCATTATCATCGTCTTTGTCTAAATGATCTGGAATACCATCATTATCATCGTCATCATCTAGGTCATCTGGAATTCCGTCTCCGTCACTGTCTAGTTCCTTGTCGTCATCAATTCCGTCATTATCATCGTCTTTGTCCAAATGATCGGGAATACCATCATTATCATCGTCATCATCTTGATCATCTGGAATTCCGTCTCCGTCACTGTCTAGTTCCTTGTCGTCATCAATTCCGTCATTATCATCGTCTTTGTCTAAATGATCGGGAATACCATCATTATCATCGTCATCATCTTGGTCATCTGGAATTCCGTCTCCATCACTGTCAAGTTCTTTGTCATCGTCAATTCCGTCATTATCATCGTCTTTGTCCAAATGATCGGGAATACCATCATTATCATCATCATTATCTTTATAATCAGGAATACCATCACCATCACTGTCAAATTCTTGGTCGTCATCAATTCCATCATTATCATCGTCTTTGTCTAAATGATCTGGAATACCATCATTATCGTCGTCATCGTCTTGGTCATCTGGAATGCCGTCTCCATCACTATCTAGTTCCTTGTCATCATCAATTCCGTCATTATCATCGTCTTTGTCTAAATGATCTGGAATACCATCATTATCGTCGTCATCGTCTTGGTCATCTGGAATTCCGTCTCCATCACTATCAAGTTCCTTGTCATCATCAATTCCGTCATTATCATCGTCTTTGTCTAAATTATCCGGAATACCATCATTATCATCGGCATTGTCTTTATAATCGGGCACACCATCTCCATCACTGTCTAGTTCCTTGTCGTCATCAATTCCGTCATTATCATCGTCTTTGTCTAAATGGTCCGGAATACCATCATTATCATCGTCATCATCTTGGTCATCTGGAATTCCGTCTCCATCACTGTCAAGTTCTTTGTCATCGTCAATTCCGTCATTATCATCGTCTTTGTCTAAATGATCTGGAATACCATCATTATCATCGTCATCATCTTGGTCATCTGGAATTCCGTCTCCATCACTATCAAGTTCTTTGTCATCATCAATTCCGTCATTATCATCGTCTTTGTCTAAATGATCTGGAATACCATCATTATCATCGTCATCATCTTGGTCATCTGGAATTCCGTCTCCGTCACTGTCTAGTTCCTTATCGTCATCAATTCCGTCATTATCATCGTCTTTGTCCAAATGATCGGGAATACCATCATTGTCATCGTCATCATCTTGGTCATCTGGAATTCCGTCTCCATCACCGTCAAGTTCTTTGTCATCGTCAATTCCGTCATTATCATCGTCTTTGTCCAAATGATCTGGAATACCATCATTATCATCATCATTATCTTTATAATCAGGAATACCATCTCCATCACTGTCAAGTTCTTGGTCGTCATCAATTCCATCATTATCATCGTCTTTGTCTAAATGATCTGGAATACCATCATTATCATCGTCATCGTCTTGGTCATCTGGAATGCCGTCTCCATCACTATCTAGTTCCTTGTCATCATCAATTCCGTCATTATCATCGTCTTTGTCTAAATGATCTGGAATACCATCATTATCATCGTCATCATCTTGGTCATCGGGAATACCGTCTCCGTCACTGTCTAGTTCCTTGTCGTCATCAATTCCGTCATTATCATCGTCTTTGTCTAAATGATCCGGAATACCATCATTATCATCGTCATCATCTTGGTCATCTGGAATGCCGTCTCCATCACTATCTAGTTCCTTGTCATCATCAATTCCGTCATTATCATCGTCTTTGTCTAAATTATCTGGAATACCATCATTATCATCGTCATCATCTTGGTCATCGGGAATACCGTCTCCGTCACTGTCTAGTTCCTTGTCGTCATCAATTCCGTCATTATCATCGTCTTTGTCTAAATTATCCGGAATACCATCATTATCATCGTCATCATCTTGGTCATCTGGAATTCCGTCTCCATCACTATCAAGTTCTTTGTCATCGTCAATTCCGTCATTATCATCGTCTTTGTCCAAATGATCGGGAATACCATCATTATCATCATCATTATCTTTATAATCAGGAATACCATCTCCATCACTGTCAAGTTCCTTGTCGTCATCAATTCCGTCATTATCATCGTCTTTGTCTAAATGATCCGGAATACCATCATTATCATCGTCATCATCTTGGTCATCTGGAATTCCGTCTCCATCGCTGTCAAGTTCTTTGTCATCATCAATTCCGTCATTATCATCGTCTTTGTCTAAATTATCCGGAATACCATCATTATCATCGTCATCATCTTGGTCATCGGGAATACCGTCTCCGTCACTGTCTAGTTCCTTGTCGTCATCAATTCCGTCATTATCATCGTCTTTGTCTAAATGATCCGGAATACCATCATTATCATCGTCATCATCTTGGTCATCTGGAATTCCGTCTCCATCACTATCAAGTTCCTTGTCATCATCAATTCCGTCATTATCATCGTCTTTGTCTAAATGATCAGGAATACCATCATTATCATCATCATTATCTTTGTAATCGGGTACACCATCTCCATCACTGTCTAGTTCTTGGTCGTCATCAATTCCGTCATTATCATCGTCTTTGTCCAAATGATCTGGAATACCATCATTATCATCGTCATCATCTTGGTCATCTGGAATTCCGTCTCCATCACTATCAAGTTCCTTATCGTCATCTATTCCGTCATTGTCGTCGTCTTTGTCTAAATGATCCGGTATACCATCATTATCATCGTCAATGTCTTCATCATCAGAGAAACCGTCTCCATCACTGTCTCTTTCATCAATATCTTTAATTCCATCATTATCGTCGTCTTCATCTAAGTGGTCAGGAACACCGTCTTGGTCTAGATCAGCATCAAGATCATCCCAATTTCTTTCAGGAGAAGAAAAATATTGATTACATCTTGGATCATCTTCTTTTAATTTCATCTTTTTAAGACAATATTGTCTTAGATGTGTTGGTGTTCCATCTTCTAAATAGCTCTGGGCTATGTGATCAAGATCAGGCTCACTTTCAATATCCTTTTCAGAATCTTCGTCATCTATAACACCATCATTGTCATCGTCATTATCTAAATCATCAGGAATTCCATCATTATCATCATCATTGTCTTTGTCATCAGGAATACCATCACCGTCACTATCAGAAGAGAACCAACCTAAAATCTTGCGCCTACAAAACGCACATTCTTCCTGCAAGTTAAAAAGATAACTGATTCCTAAAACAGTTTAAATATGAAATGTTGCAGACAGGTTATTCTTGCAGGCAAAAAAATATACGGAAATCATGGTTTCAAATAATGTTCATGCTGACAGAGGAAAAATAAATTTGCATAGGGAAACTTGAATGAAGTAAATTTGTGTTTAAAGGCTCAAAACTCAGCCAAAATTGATTTACGCACATGTGCAGTAAACATTGTTAAGCCAAAACCGGGTTCAAGCTCCGACGGGGCTTACAAATCGAGCATATGTGTAAGAGGAATGGACACGAATCATTCCCTTCAGGGCATTATCAAGGACCAATAATTTGAACTAAAAATGACATGTTATTAACTTAAATACTGGGATATGTTATGTTGCAATATAAACATCTTAACATATAAAAGAGTTATAGAAATACAAATGTATTATCATGCTTACCTCTTCATGTCAGTGTGAACCTTAGTCGTCAGCTACATACCGTGAACTATTGACATTCCTGATTTTAAATATTTATACATAATCGGTTTTCTTCGCACCAATGAACCTAAAAATCATCTTTTTCTCTCATGGCAAATTTTGTTCACAACATTCTCGTACTTATTGACATATATTTAAAGAATTCTATTTCCGCTATTTCTATCGATTAGACGAAAATCCGTCAGTATTCAACAGTCTGGCTATTGCTTTAAACATATTTATCCTTATTTATTATCTTAAATATATTTTACATTTTGCATGATGAACAATATTTACACAATACATTTTGGGATTGGGCAGAAAGCTATGAAAGCTTTTGAGTGTCCTCTCCCAGTTTGGGTTTTATAATTGGAAGAAGAGTAAAATTTATTATTATAATACGGTGTACAAATTCAGAATTTTAGCATATCTAAATAGGCAAGATAATGTCCTTTTAATGAGCATATTATCATTTTAAACAAAAATCAAACTCACACCAACCAATATAACTGACTGTAGAAATGTGCAATTCTTATTTAGAAATTTTCTGCATTATTTTGCTGTATACATACTAGTTACTGTTTTTTATGAGAAGATGCGTACAGTTTGTGTGTTTTTTCTTCATTTGATAAAAATTACATCAAGTACAATCAATTATCGAACAATAAAACGTCCAAACAATATCTAGAGAATAAGACATGGTCCTGTATCACTCGTCGAAACAGCTTAAAAAACTGACAAAAGTTCGTAGAGTCTGAATTATTTCCATATAGGTTTTATAGAGCCATAATTGTTAGAATTTATCAAAATAGTATTATTATTTATAACAAGGTTTTCAAAGTTTCTTCTTATTTGCATACAAAGTAAAAGTTTATAAAAAAATATATATATCAAAATCAGAACAGCACTTTTCAACAAGGTTTCCGAAACGTCTACATTATTGTACATACATGTTTGCACGTTTATCTGTTTTCTTTACGTCAATTTTAACATACGAGTATTTTGGTCAAAACTCGGTGGTGAGTCAACTTCACCGGCTTTCTGCTTTATAGACTAACTACACATGATTTCTGATCAGCGGTGACAGACACATGATGATTACAGAGAAAATTTGGCCTGTCCCGAGGATCAAACCATACTTGTATATCAGTGAACTAAGCGGACGGACATCTTTACTCGTATACTGCTGTATTACATAATGGGAAAATAACCACACGCCTTAATGAGGTCATGTACTAACCGAACAAAATATTAAAATAATCTTAGTTTTATAATATTTTTCATATATAAACAAACTATACGTAAACATTTCTATATAATATATAACAAGTATAATAATCTTGATTGACGGGCACACACGAATAAATTGAAACTAGACTTTGAAACTATACCTTCACCAACTGAAATCACCCAGATAACTCTACAAACGACCATGCCCCTTACCTCCATGACTCTGACAAGTTAAAGTTAAACAAGCAAATTCGTTGAATTTATATACCCCGCCGAGTACTGGTTATTACTAACACAACAACTGGAGACATAAGGCTTTATTTACATATCTATCATGGCATAAGCAGTAATATTCTTTGTAACATGATAAATATTCAGGGCAATAACAGAGCCATAACTCCATGTTAAATAGTAATATCTGGACATGCCAATGAGATGTAAATTGCCCTTTTTAATCGATGATTGTCATAAAGTTTTGTTGAAATCAATACAGCGGTTGCAAAGAAATAGCAATTTGGCTCTATATGCATACTACATAACAAATCAAGGGCCATAACTCTGTAATGAAGGGTCTGGTTTGAACAAGGCAACAAATTATGCACATCTCCTCTTGGTATTAATGGTTCCCATAAAGTTTAATTGAATTCCATCCAGTAGTTGCAGAGAAGTAGTGCAGAAACAATTATTGCTCTATATGCATACTGCATAACTAATCAAGGGCCATAACCCTGTAATGAAGGATCTGGTCTGGACAAGGCAACAAATTATGCACATCTCCTCTTGGTATTAATGGTTCCCATAAAGTTTAATTGAATTCCAGCCAGATGTTGCAGAGAAGTAGTGCAGAAACAATTATTGCTCTAAATGCATACTGCATAACTAATCAAGGGCCATAACTCTGGGTTAAAGTATCTGACCAGAACACGGCGATAATATGTGCATCTTCACTTGGTATTGAAGGTTCCCATAAAGTTTGCTCTATATGCATACTGCATAACTAATCAAGGGCCATAATTCTAAGTTTAAGTGTCTGACTGGAGCAAGGCGACGATATGCACATCTCCTCTTAATATTGAAGGTCCATTCCTCTTACACATATGCTCAAGCAAGTAGTTGCAGAGAACTAGTGCGGAAACGATTATTGTTCTATATGAATACTGCATAACTAATCAACGGCCATAACTCCGAGTTAAAGGGTCTGACCGGAACAAGGCGACACTATGCGCATTCCTCTTCATATTGATGATTCCCATAAAGTTTTGTTGAATTCCAGCCAGTAGTTGCAGAGAAGTAGCGCGGAAACCATTTTTGCTCTATATGCATATTGCATAACTAATCATGGGCCATAACTTTGAGGTAAAGTGTCTGACCGGAACAAGGCGACAATATGCACATCTCCTGTTGGTATGGAAGGTTCCGATAAAGTTCCATTGAATTCCAGCCAGTAGTTGCAGAGAAATAGTGCGGAAACGAAATTCGGACGGACGGACAACGCCAAAACAATATCCCCATCCCGATCCCATTGTATGTTGCATTTCCTTTCAATGGGGTTGGCCATTGATGAAGTTTTATTAGATTACTCTGTAAGAAGTCCAGAAAGACAAGGAAAAGGAACAAAGGGCAATAACTCTATAAATACTGAAGATTGAGTTATGGCTATTGTACACTGCACTTCCTCTCATTGCGCTTGGCCATTGTATGAAGTTGTATTGAATTCCAACTACTAGTTTTCAAGTTATGCACTGGACAAAAAAGCAATAACTGTAATTAGCCCAAATAGAGTTATTGTTCTTGTGCACTGCACTTCATCTCACTGCCCTTGACCATTGTATAAAGTTTCATTGAATTCCAACCATTAATTTTCAAGTTATGCACTGGCCAATAAAAAGTAACAAAGGGCAAACACTTTTAAATTAGTCAAAAAAGAGTTATGCTTTCTGTGCACTGCACTTCCTCTCAATATACTTGACCATAGTATGAAATAGTTTTGAATTCCAACCAGTAGTTTTCAAGTTATGCTCCAGACAAGGAAAAGTAACAAAGGGCAATAACTCTGTCATTAGTCAAGATGGAGTTATGGTTCTCATGCACTGCACTTCCTCTCAATGTGCTTGACCATTGTATGAAGTTGTTTTGAATTCCAACCAGTACTTTTCAAGTTATGCTCCAGACAAGGAAAAGTATCAAAGGGCAATAACTCTGTAATTTGTCAAAATGGAGTTATAATTCTTGTGCACTGCATTTCCTCTTAATGTGCTTGACAACTGCATGAAGTTGTATTGAATTCCAACCAGTAGTTTTCAAGTTATGCTCCAGACAAGGAAAAGTAACAAAGGGCAATAACTCTGTCATTAGTCAAGATGGAGTTATGGTTCTCATGCACTGCACTTCCTCTCAATGTGCTTGACCATTGTATGAAGTTATATTGAATTCCAACTAGTAGTCTTCAAGTTATGCTCCGGACAAAAAAAGCAATCGAAAAGTAACAAAGGGCAATAACTCTGTAATTAGTCAAAATGGAGTTATGGTTCTTGTGCATGGCACTTCCCCTTATTGTGCTTGGCCATTGTATGAAGTTGTTTTGAATTCCAACCAGTAGTTTTCAAGTTATGCTCCGGACAAAGAAAAGTAACAAAGGGCAGTTACTCTGTAATTAGTCAAAATGGAGTTATGGTTCTCATGCACTGCACTTTCCTCTCAATGTGCTTGACTATTGTATGAAGTTATATTGAATTCCAACCATTAGTCTTCAAGTTTGAGTCCGGACAAAAGAAAGCAATGAAATAACAAAGGGCAATTACTCTGTAATTACTTTAGATAGAGTTATGGTTCTTGTGCACTGCACTTCCCCTTATTGTGCTTGACAATTTTATGAAGTTGTTTCGAGTTTCAACCAGTAGATTTCAAGTTATGCTCCGGACAAGGAAAAGTAACAAAGGACAGTAACTCTGTAATTAGTCAAAATGGAGTTAAGGTTCTTGTACACTGCACTTCCTCTCAATGTGCTTAACCATTGTATGAAGTTATATTGAATTCCAGCTGGACCGACCGACCGAACCGACCACCGGGTGACTCCTATATACCCCCCCCCCCCAAACTTCGTTTTTGGGGGTATAATAATAAGCAATAACTTATATACATGGAAGCTAGACACCCTTTTAACATTTGATTCAAACTGTTGTTTTTGTATGACCTTGCACTTACCACTGCTGTCCATGTTCAATCAAACCGAGCCTGCAATTTTTTAAGTTTTGCCGTTTTTGAGCTTTCTTTTAAGGGATACCGTTTTTTTTCTTTTCTAAACG